GGTGAGTGGCAGTGAGCGAAAAACTGAGGAGGTCATGTCTCCCTGATACAGCTGCAGATAACACTGTGAACAGCAACAACTTAGAACATAGAGAAGGTTCTGGATTTTGTTCAGAGACTTTTTCTGTTTATTAAAGAGGTTCCCCAAAGAACTAGTATACCCCCCCAAAAAAACCAAAAAAAAAACCAAAATAAAAAAACCAAGGCAGCAACCAAAACCCCCCGAAAACCAGAGAAATGCCCCCAAACCAAAAAAACATAGTTTGATGATAAAAGCTATTCTTCTTTGAGTTATAATTACCGGACAATTTCTCTCTCTCTCTCTCTCTCTCTTTTTTTTTTTTTTTCCAGAAGGAAACCTCTTGCTTGGGACAGCTTCAGCAATTTAGCTCCATTTTCCAAGCACATAGAGCAAATAAGGGGCAATCATTCGTCAGTCATAAAGATAAGCTGAGGAAGGGAAATACTTTTGTAGGTCACGTCACCTGACAGAAACTTTGGACTGATCCTTTCCTGGTTCAAGAGTTCAGCCATAAGACCTACTTTCCCTATCAGCTGTCTGAAGCTGATAAGGTCCTGAAGCAAGTACATTTTCTTTATGAGCTTTTATTTGATTTTCCTTGTGACATAAGTATTGGAGGGTCAGTGTGTACAGTTACTTCTGGTTGGTCAATTCTTCTTTGAAATAAATTGCTGTTTTCTCCGATTGGACAGGGTAAATATGATTTGTTCAAACATTTTTCATCAAGTTATCAGTGCCTAGTACAGAGCTTTTATTTCTACAAGTTTACTGTGAGTATTTTTTGAAGGAATGATTAGAAGTCCAGTCTTGGTAAGGAATAAACATGATAGGAGCAGAGTAATCAGGTCGCAGTAGGTACTGTGTTTATGCCCATCACATGTATTAGATGCAAGTGATAGAAGAGGGGAATTCAGGGTATTAGATTCCTGTGAAATTGCTTATGAGATGGTATTTGTTATTCGGTATTAGTTAAGTCTATTTTCTTCCTAGGACTTTGACCTGAAATAGGCCCATGTTCTGGGGAAGCACTGATGGAAGAGAACTGAGTGCTGGCTCTCTCATGTCTCACATTCCCTTCTACTCCTACCCACTTCCCATCTTCCCTTCTGCTGGGTTTGGTAACGCGATAGTAGCTCTCCTTCTGCAGCTTTCATCCTGACTTGTGCTCTAATCATGACCTTGCCACAAACGCACTGTTAACCTAGAAGAAGTCAACTGATTTTCCGGAACCTTAGCTTCTTCATCTGCAAATAAGTAATTTAATGACATGATGGTCAGGGTGCTTTACTAATTCTACAGTTCTATTAAATTTTGACTAGGCCCTGGTAAGGATAATTTAATGCAGATACATGATCCTCTGCCTATTATTTGCCCTACTGAGATGTAGTTACTAAATGAATATTTTTTTCTTAAAGGCTAAGCTTGAGCCAGCTGCTGGCATGGTGATTTAAGCAGCAGGATCCTACATAGTCCACCACATGGTTTGAGTCCTGGGCTCAGTGGCTTGAAAATTATGTAGGGTGACATGGTTTGAGTCCTGGGCTCAGTGGCTTGATTATTATGTAGGGTATGTGCATTTATGTGCCCAAAATTCCAAGAGGAGAATGGAGGAAAAGGGACTGCCACATGCCCATTCCTCCGTGGGTGATGTCTTACTTTCCCTTCTGATTGTTCTGTCTGTCTCCAAGTGCATGTGTCCTATAGCAAAAACTACCAAAAAAAAAAAAAAAAAAAAAAAGGCTAGGCTTACTTCTCTGACATCGGGTAACCAAACACCTCATATTTATCAGGACAGCTATCCACTGGGAGTTTGATAGCTATTTATGTAGAATTCTTAGCTGTGGCTAAGAATCTAAGTATCTCTTTTGGTATTGTCTCTTATGAGGTGAAGTAGGAAAACCATCGAGTTGGAGTCTCTAGTAGGACTCTGGATCTCACATGGATATGGATTTTCCAGAGGTCTTGCAATACAAGAATGTACACAGACAAAGATGCACTTTTTGGGAATCTGTTCTTCCAATTGGTACAAATACCTGCGTGTAACAACATCACAGACAGCTAATATATGCTAAACATGTAGGATCTCATTGGATTATTTGAAAATGTGGTATTTAGTACTATTGATATATTACTTTTATTTTTAAGTGATCATACATAAGGGCATAAGATAACATGGACAGTTTATAGACGAATCAGAAAGCAAACACCCTATATATACCTCTCAGTTTTTAGCTCTTGCTGTGAGTGGCCTGAGGTGATCTTTGAAAGTGGTTTGCTATTTTCTTGACTCAGAGAACCCAATAAAGTCCTGCAAATCAAGAGATTCAAATAACCATGTGTACTTTAAGAACACCTGTGAAAATACCCAGGCCATCTGGGGTATGCATAGCCGAAAAACCACCAAGTATCTGGAGGAAGTCGCTTTCCAGAAGCAATGTATGTCATTCCGTCATTACAATGGTAGAATTGGTGGATGTGCCCAGGCCAAACGGGGCTGGACACAGGGTTGATGGCCCCAAAAGAGTGCTGAGTTTTTGTTGCACATGCTTAAAAATGCAGAGAGTAATGTTGGACTCAGGGATTAGATGTAGATTCTCCGGTCATCGAGCATACTGAGGTGAACAAGGCACCAGAGATGTGCTGTTGTACTTACAGAACTCACGGGCGGATGAACCCACACATGAGCTCTCCCACAGCCACATCAAGATGATCCTCATTGAAAAGGAACAAATTGTTCCTAAACCAGAAGAGGAGGTTGCATAAAAGGATATCCCAGGAGAAGTTGAAGAAACAAATCTTACAGCATGAGAATAAATTCAGCATAAAATAAATGTAGACGAAAGTAAAAATGAAACCAGAAATGGTTTCCTCGGTCCTTACATAGCTTTGCATGCTCTCCTGAGTCTCATCTCTCTCTTACCCACGGGAGTAATCACTATCTTAAATTTTGAGTGAACCATTACTTTGTTTTCTTTAGTTCTGTCATCTGTATATCTCTAGGTAATGTAGGATTTAATGTTACTTGTTTTTGAAGCTGGAAAATTGCATCCTGTAGTATGAATTCTTATACAACTTAATTAGTCACCATTTTATTTTGAGATTCGTCAATAGTGATGTGTTTATAGTTATTACTGGCTGAACAGCTTTCCATTATACGGCTTTGCTACAATTTATTCTACCATTGGTGGATATTTATGTTTTTCTTTTCTTTTATTTTCAGTTTATTTTTTGCTGTTATAAACAATGTGGCCTTGCACATTCTTATGCATGCCTGGTGTATGTACACACATATCCGTGCACATATATATATGTGTATGCCTGTCTATCTATGCATCTTAAGATACACTAGAGGGGCTGGCAGGTGACGTGGTGGTTAAGGGCCCTGGACTCCCACATGGCTGACCGTGGTTCGAGTCCTGGACCTGGTGGCTTGCTTTCTCACTCTTTCTCTCTCTCTCTCTTACTCTGTCCCTCTCCAGTCAAATTAAAATAAATGATAAATAAATAAATAAAGTTAAATTACATTAGTTAAAAAAAAGATACAGTAGAAAACCGAGGCCCAGAGTCACCATGCAACTTGTTTAAGACCAGAGTAAGTTGGCGATGAGGCCAAACTCTGAGCCTAGTAGTCTGTTACCAGAATTTGCATCCTTAATTACAATATGGTAAAGATCCTCATTAAAAATATTCATCCTGGACCTGGAAGCTTGGTTTCTCACTCTTTCTCTCTCTCTCTCTTACTCTGTCCCTCTCCAGTCAAATTAAAATAAATGATAAATAAATAAATAAAGTTAAATTACATTAGTTAAAAAAAAGATACAGTAGAAAACCGAGGCCCAGAGTCACCATGCAACTTGTTTAAGACCAGAGTAAGTTGGCGATGAGGCCAAACTCTGAGCCTAGTAGTCTGTTACCAGAATTTGCATCCTTAATTACAATACGGTAAAGATCCTCATTAAATATATTCAGTTAAAAATATTAAAAGTGGTTAACTAGATAAGTGACACAGGTACCCAATATATTTATGATGTGTCATGATCAAATTATAGGTTACTATAGGTTACTATAATCAAGACAGCACTAATAATTTAAAAGTGTGAGCCCATTCCATGACTCGGTGTTTAAGGCAGCTGGATCCCACATGGATGAGTGTTAATTCAAGTCCCAGACCTGAAGGCTGGAGAAATACACAGGGCATGTGTGCTCAAAATCCAGAAAGGCGAGGGACCAGCAGTTAGCGTAATGGCTATGTCACTGGACTCCCATGTAGTCGACCGTGGTTTGAGTCCTGGACTCGGTGGCTTAAACTCAGGCCAGGCATGTGTGCATGCGTGCCCAAGATCCCGAGAGGAGAATGGAGGAGAAGGAATTGTGGCGTGGCCATTCCCTCTGGGGGGTGATTTCTCGCTTTCTGTCTCTCTGTTTCTCTCTGTCTCTCTGGTGAGCGCACGCACCCTATAGCAAAAATAAAAACCTCTCCAAAAAAAGAAAAAAAAAATCCAGAAAGGCGGGAGAAATGGAGGAGAAACAATTGAGGTTTGACGGTTGCTTTTGGAGGGGAGAGAGATGCTTTCTCCTCTCCCTCTCTGTCTCTCCCTGGAAAGTGCATGTCACCTCTAGCACACATGCTGTGTGCACACACACAGGAAAGTGTTTGCATGTACAAAGCATTTGGGAAGGAGTATCTGGTATGGTGGTGAGCAAAAACAACCCAATGAGTGAGGCAGTTGATGATAAAGCCCTAGTTTTGACATGAAAGGAATAAAAATGGAAGCCCTGCTGAATCACCAGTGTCTTGGAGAAACTTGAATAAGTTTCTTGGCTGGGAGTTTTTTCCATCACATGATGATAAGTAATTTCAAAGGGAGGCAAAATAAAGTTTCTCTGCTATATGAGCCACATCTCTGTTGGTCGCAAGTGTCTGAAACGTCTCTTGAACTGGCTTGGATAAAAGGAGAAAAATGCTAGTTCCGAGAATGCAAGGAAGCCTGAACCATCTAGCCCAGGGAAGGCAAGGATACAGGTGGACTGTGGAAATGAAGTAAGGGGTTGAACACTATCAGGGCTCTCCAACTGGGGACCCTGCTTTCTCCCTGGGTGGACTCCCTTCTCTTTCACTATAGGCTGGTTTCTTCTCTATGGCGAGGAATATTGCTGCTAACACTTTCTGAGCTCTCTACATCTTTGGTATGGCTTAATTTGTACTTTCTCTGGTGAAAAGTTAAGTTACCAGTGGAAGGTCTCAGATGAGAGACATTGTCCATCCCTGGGAAAACTTACTGTTGTCTGGGTGTGGGGGGCTATATTAAAAACATGGACATTTTCTCAGAACCTCCTGGTTCTACTGAGGGAAGATATCTCCCCTACCCCCTACCAAGGAAAGTGTAGTTTACAGAAAGAGGTAGAATAGACAGATAAAACAAAAGTTCCTCAATATGTTACTCGAATAATCTCTACAATATATTCAATATATTAGAGTTTTAAAATGTTTCCCAATGGTCATAGCAAAATGAATCTTATAGTATTTCATAATCTAATATTTTATCAGATTATTTTATTTATACTTTACTGAAATATTTTCAAGCAATCAATCAACAAGAGTACTGCCTCTTTTTTTTTTTTTTTGAGAGGTTTTTGCTATAGGGCACGTGTGCTTGCTAGACAGACAGAGACAGAAAGACAGAAAATGAGAAATTACCCCCCAGGGGGGATGGCCATGGCTCAATCTCTTCTCCTCCATTCTCCTCTCAGGATCTTGGGCACGCACGCACACACGCCCGGCGTGAGTTTAAGCCGCTGGGTCTGAGACGCAAACCGTGTTTGACTACATGGGAGTCCAGCGACATAGCCATTACGCTAACTGCTGGTCCCCAAGAGTACTGCCTTTTTGAAAGATGAGTTTAAGGGGTGGGATGGTGGTACAATAATAAAACATGAGACTCTGCGAGGCCGACTCACCTAAGAAGGTTCTGGGTTTATGTGTGGAGACCTCCCTGAGCTCACTGGCACACCCGTGCCCACAATCTGAGGCTGGTTGAAACTGGGTGTGGATTGTGCCTTTGAGACCCTGTTGGGAGTGCTGTCCCTCTGGGTGTCTTGCTCATGGAAGAGAAAAGTAAATGAGCTTAAAAAAAAAGAAAAAAAAATATGACTTGAAGCACACAGACTCAGGAGCAAAGGAAATGAGGTAAGGTTTAAGATAAGTCACTCTGAGAAAGGTGAAATTTTAATCACAATAAAATTAAACAAACTAGAAGTCTAGTTCTTTGTCTTTTCAGGTTACTGTTCTTTATTTTTATTAGTATTGGTTACAAATAATGGGACAAAGAAATGTGGTATTATCTGTTGAAGATAGTTTATAGTTTTATCAACTGGACTAGAGAGAAATGTTTACCTGTTGAAATATTCACTTTGTAAGCTAAATAATGTGATTGAACGTATAAAAGAAAATGAAATAAAAAATATAAAAATAAAAATAATAAAGGTGGTGTGGTGAAAAAGTGATGGAATCAGAAAAGTTACATTAGTTTTCTGTTGCTGTACAATAAAGTTGGCACAAACCTAGTGACTTAAAATAATGCCAATTTATTATCTCACCCTTCCCATGGGCTGGAAATCTAGGTACCTTGTGACTCAGCTGGTTTCTCTGCTTACAGTCCCACAAGGTCAAAATCACAGGTGAGGCAGAAGCTGCAGTTCTCAGCTGAAGTTTGGGTCTCCTTCTGAGCTCCCCAGTTGTCAGCAGAATTCATTTCCTTCTTATACCTTCCATATGAGCCCCTCCATATTCAAGTCAGCAATGGTACATGGTCCATCAAATCCTTCTCATACTTCAGAACCCTCTGACTTCCCTTTCTGCCATCTCTCTCTCTGACTTCTCCTTCTCCCTTCCACCACCAGCAGAGGATGCTTAAAGAGCTTATGTGATTAGATTACAACAATCTGAGTTTTCCTCCTCTCCTCTCCTCTCCTCTCCTCTCCTTTCCTTCCTTCCTTCCTTCCTTCCTTCCTTCCTTCCTTCCTTCCTTCCTTCCTTCCTCTCTCTTTCTGTCTTCTCTCTATAAACATTATTGTAGTATATGCAAGATGCATGGTTCCTGACCTGCTAATCCTCAGTGAGCAGTAAATGGTGACTATAGATTCCATACTGTAGACTTATTTCAGACAAAGGAAACCATAGTACTAGGAGCCAAGGTTTGGACCCCTAATACCTTCATGTGGTCCTTGGTGGGTGAATTGGATGACTGATCTGAGTCACAAGGGTACCTTTTCCTTGGTGGCTTGAAGTTACTCTGGAAGATTTATACCGTGTTGTCAATTACTCCTTTAGTTTGCTTCTGGTTGTCCTTATATAGGAGGAAGAGTGGGAAAGGTATCCCTTACAGTGACCATATATTTTACAAATGAAAAGAGAGTACTTTGAGCCAGCAGATCGTGTAACTGTTAGGTTGCTGGAACCACACATGTCTGACTATGGTTCAAGTCCTGGACCCAGTGGCTTGAAACTCATGCCAGGTGCATGTGTGTGCAGGCCTAAGATCTCAAGAGAAGAATGGAGAAGAAGGGATTGTGGCATGGTGTGGTCATCTCCCTGGGGGAATGACTTCTCACTTTCCATTTCTCACCAGTGAGCACACATGCCCTAAGGCAAAAATCTCTCTAATAAAAAATAAGAGAGTACTTTAACATTTATGCTGGGATGCATGCATAAATAAGGATGATATTGAGAAAACTGGAACATGTAGTCATGCTAGGGTCTCTCCTCTTAGAAGTAAGAAGGACCAAATAAGGATGATATTGAGAAAACTGGAACATATAGTCATGCTAGGATCTCTCCTCTTAGAAGTAAGGACTCACACCTCTATCTCAGTTGTAGAGTGATTTAAAAGGCAGGCCTGGCGGACCAGCAGATGGTGTAATGGTTACATTGCTAGACTCCCACGTAATTGTGGTTCGAGTCCTGGACCTGGTGGCTTAAAACTCATGCTGTGTATGTGTGCACACATTTCCCAAATCCCAAGAGGAGAATGGAGGGGAAGGGATTGTGGCATGGCCATCCTCCCACGGGTGGGAGGTGATTTATTGCTTCCTCTGTCTGTCCTTTCTCTGTCCCTACAGGGCATGCGTCTTGTAGCAAAAGTCTCTCTCTCTAAAATAAATAAGTAAATAAAATAAAATAAATAAAAGGCAGGCCTGAAAAGAGACTGATGCAAAAAATACAGAACTTTTAGACATTCTTAATTCTCAAAACTCTACCTCCTCTTTCATTCTGGGTTCACTTATGTTGTTTTTATTCCAGAGTTCTTCTTCCTTTGGGTGAATATGGGGGCAAGAAAGGAGTAAGAGGGTGAGGCAGCAAAGGGTAAAGAGAGGGCTGTGATTCCTTTAAGATTCCTCCAGAATAATTTCTCGATGATTATCAGCTTGGACCACATGTACTTGGGGATTCTTGGTGGATTTCCAGAGTAAACAGGGCATGTCTTCTTGGAGACACATTTTTGTCCTCCAACAATTTGAGAGGAAATTTCTTTTATATTAAATAAGACCCAGATAGGTAATGAATTAAAATGCAAGTCATTTGAAGTTTTAAAATAAATCATGAGACTTCAAAGATAGTTTGGTTTTGGGGGCGACTTTATACTCCAGATCTATGAAGCACTATCACTCAGTTATTTTCAGTTATGTTGGAAAAGTTTGAAAGAGCTGCCCCAGGAATTAAAGTGTGCACATAACATTCTTTTAGCTTTTTTTTTTTTTTTTTTTTTTTGCCTCTTTCCATAACTTGGTCAAGTGGCACTGAATATTATCAGCTTCTTACTGTTTTTACAGTCATCTGAGGATAACATAATTGATGATTCAGATTAAATTACCCTATATGAGTCCAACTCAAGGCAGCCGGAACTCCCATTAGAGATACAGATTTAGCCAAATAGTAAAATCATCTCTTCCTGAATAACTTGGCCAGAAGGATATTATGGCTATAGATATGCATGGAGATGAAATAGAACATGGGATTCAAATTGCTCACACTTTAATGTGGAAGAGGAACCAAATGGAAGCTGAAAGTGTTAAAAGGAGGCATGGAGGCCAGCAGGTGGTGTGAAGGCTAAGGTGACTGGAACCTGTGTTGCTGACTTCGCAGTTTCAAGTCTTGGATGTGGCAGCTTTAAAATCAAACTGGGCATATATGTGTGTGTGTGCGCCCAAAACCTCGAGAGGGGCATATATGTGTGTGTGTGCGCCCAAAACCCCGAGAGAAGAGATTGTGGCATGGTCATCCTTCCTGGGGGGTGATTGCTTGCATTCCCTCTCTCTATCTTTTTCGCTCTCTACCTCTGGCAAGTGCACACTCTAATAACAAAAGCTTAAAAAAAAAGATGTGTGGATGATGCCTTTCAGTAATAAACCAAAAGCTATTAAGACGAGAAATTATGCATGTTATACATACAGAAAGAATTCTCATTCGAATTAATTGGAAAAAGCCATGAGTGGTTACAATAATAAACGTTTCAAGACAGAAAGTTTATATGCCTAGGGCCTGATTTCTAAAGAACTCAGACTTTATTGTATATATTCCATGCTGTAAAATTTTATGTATAATTTAATCTACCTTTGTTTGAAAGTACAAGGAGTTTAAAGAATATAAATTACTACTTAAAATGGCCATTTAAATAGAGTTGCTCCTTGACCTCTGATGGTCCAGTCAAAAATATCTGAAGTGGGGGCCAGCAGATTGTGTAATGGTTATGTCACTGGATTCCCATGTAGTTGATTGTGGTTCAAGTCCTGAACCCAGGAGCTTGAGACTCATGCTGGGCATGTGTGCATGCATGTCCAAGATCCTGGGAGGAGAATGGGGAAGAGAAGATTGTGGTGTGGCCGTCCCCTCTGGAAGATGATTTCTTGCTTTCTGTCTCTCTGGTGAGTGCATGCACCCTATAACAAAATAAATAAAATAGATCTTAAGTGGGAAATACATTTAATATCCTGAAAAACCCACAATCAAGTAAAACAATTATAAGTTGAACCATTGTAAATCAT